GTCTGCAGCAGGGCTGTCCAGTCCTGGTCCTGGAGGGGTCAGTGTGTCTGCAGCAGGGCTGTCCAGTCCTGGTCCTGGAGGGGTCAGTCAGTGTGTCTGCAGCAGGGCTGTCCAGTCCTGGTCCTGGAGGGGTCAGTCAGTGTGTCTGGTGTTTGCCATGAAGGAAGTACTGTCCTTACTATTTGGTCACTAAAGATCCCGGGACGCTGTCGGTGAGAGTCGGGATGTGAACCCCAGAGTCCTTGCTCATCTCCACTCTGGACTTCAACAGTTCTGTCCTCCTAAGAGTCCCTCCTGCTGAGCCGCTGTGTAGCGCGTCCAGTTCAGAGCCTTTACCGGAGCTTGAGAACAAAGCCCTGAGAAGGAGCAGAGGCCGGTGGCTGAACAGAGTGACCTGCTGGCAGAGCTGCTGCAAGGTCTGCTGAGGAATCTCCTGGGGAGCCAGGAGACTTGGAAACTAACTGCAGTTCCTTCTCTGCAGCGTGCCACGGGAGATGCATCAGGACCTTCAGACAGTGGTGCACCCCTCTGGAGTTCTGCAGGACCGGCACGCCCGGCGCCGACGAGGGGAACTGGGCCCAGTCCATCTGGCACATGGGAGTTCCCCTAGCCAATCTCATCCAGGTAGGGCTCAGATCCAGCCCAGCAGGGCGATCTAGCTTGTTCGATCAGAGGATCGCTGTCGTCTTCCCCATGCAAGAGGAGGCAGCGGGACCTGAACGGCAGCGTGTTTTCTTTGTTTTTTTATTTAGTTGGGTATCCTGCGGCCACACCCGGAAGACTGCAGCTGTGTGAAGTGTGTCCCCGTTGTGAAGAAAAACGTAAGTGTGATGCTTTGGTCTCTGTTTCTGAAAAGATTGGTTATTTTATAAAAAATATTTCTGACTCTTCTATAGCCCATTTCTGGACATTCCACTCAAAGTGCAGTTTGAAGGGTGAGTCAAAGCTTTTTCAAGCAGCAACTCAAATCATTTGCAATATCGATGCTGTCTGCTGTGGAAGTCACACAGTATCGGACCTTGCAAAACATTTCCTGTATATCGCTCGAAAGCTCAGACAAGAGATTCTGCAGGGCTTTGTTTTACACAGGTGGTATCATCCGAGAAAAAAAAATAACCTGAGCTTGAAAGAGCCAAGAACTGCCTGGCCCCGCCTCCTCTGGGCGGGGTCTGAACGCAGCGCCTGGCCCCGCCTCCTCTGGGCGGGGTCTGAACGCAGCGCCTGGCTCTGTCGCCTCTGCAGAAAGACAAACCGGACGAGTGCAAATCCTGTGGTCAGGGCAGGGACCTCCTCTGCTGCGACCAGTGTTTTCGGCTTTTCCACAGCGAATGTCACCTGCCGCCTCTCCCCGGACAGGCGGATCCACAGTGAGTGAGAAATAAAGACAGACAGGCGAAACGTGATACCCTGCCACAGTCACACCCGCCCGTCACTGCAGCGCAGAATTTTTCTTGATGAACATTTGCTTGGTCTTTGTCAGGGTGGCATGGTGGCGCAGTCGGTCATAGTGATACCTCGCTGGACGCAGGGGTAACTTTTTGGGTTGATGTCTGTGTGGAGTTTGCGTGTTTTCCTGCAGATCCCACAGTCCAAAGACATATGGGCGGGTTACTGTCTTCTGGGAAAACTGGTGTGTGTGTGTGTCCTATCCAGGGTGTACCCTGCTTTGTGCCCGTTGCTTGCTGGGATAGACTCTGGCTCCCCCGTCACCCTGATTTTGTAGAAGTGGTTAAATAAATGCACCAGAATAAGAGGAAGAACATGAAAGAAAAATATCAACCATTGTTCTCTGTTTAAAATGACATGACGTACTGTGTTGCAGGGCAGAATGGATCTGCACACTGTGTGAGTTCAGCAGAACCCTGGTGCTCCTGCCTGGGATCCACAGCAGGTCGGAGGTGCTGGGGCTGGAGATGCAGAGCCAGCAGGCGGTAAGGCTCGTGTCCTGATCCTACTGCACACGACTCGATGGATCTTTCACACTGATTGTACTGGCGCCTGGTTCCCGTGATCAAGGATCTGATATCACTTCCTAGAGTGAAAGTCTTTCCAAATTACAATTTAACTCATGATGGTTACTGTAGATGGGATTTAAGTTATCATTATAATAATCATATAGTTATCCTCAGTTATTATTTCCAAATCCAGGACTTGGTATTGGCAGGTAGCCAATGACAAAAAGCACACATTTTTAAATCTGTTTGAAATCTGACATTCATGCTGATCTCTTTTTCCTTTTTTTTTTTTTCAGAAATGTGTGTATCTTCTCCTCAGACTGTACTGCAAGCAAAACAGTGGCCCTTTCACTAAAAATCCCAGCAGTGTAAGTAGCATCTACTGCTGTAAACTCCCAGCTGTTGAGTCTCTCAGTCCACAGTTTTAAAAATGCTGATTGAGACACCCAAAGGATGCAGTAAACTAAACAGACAGGTACAATGGGAATTACAGGGCATTACTTTAATAAGTAAAGGTATCAGTATGTAAAAATAATATTTTTTAACTTTTATACATGGGGAAAAGCAGAATAAGGGGTACTACCTAAGGGGTAGTTAAGGAGGGGAGACCCCATTACCTAAACACTAATTATAATTACAATGGGAATTACATTAATTCAAGTGCACGCATTACTTTAATAAGATATCAGAATATAAGGGTTATAATTTTATACATTTTACCATGCTAGATAAAGCATATTATGGATAAATTATTATAATGAGAAGTAAATTACATCACAGAAGCCCACAGCATGTACTTACACGGACAGATATACAGGTCTGATGACTGTATAAAAGCCATTGTAACATACCAGCTTGTACAAGACAAAACTGTTTAAAATCACAAATTCTACGCGATTTCACAATGCATCGATAGATCTGAAAGCGAAAGTTGAATCTGAATCTGTAATTTATCATTTTTGATTTGATTTTACTTTCATCCCTTTGTTTTTCTTAAGCTCAAGAGATACTGTGAGATCATCAAGCGCCCCATGTGGCTGGATAAAGTCAAGGAGAAGCTCCTGCAGCAGAAGTACCAGCAGGTGGGCCAGTTCGTCCGGGACGTCCGGCTCATCTTCCAGAACTGTGTCCAGTACAACAAGGTGAGAACCTGGGAAGGTCTAGAGTTCTTCTTCCCTGAGCAAAACAACATGGCACTGTGGAACTAATGGAGATCTGTATAAAAGGTAGAGAGATGAGGGCCCAACTATGAAGATAAACAGAGATCAGAGCAGCTGCTCTCTCTATAGTATTGATCACTCCAGAGAACAGAGCAGCTGCTCTCTCTACAGTGTCGATCCTACAGAGATCAGAGCAGCTGCTCTCTCTACAGT